TCCCTATGGATACAGACCTGGAGTGATCAAGAGCTGATTTCCTGGGGAGTCGAGGAGAGGATTGTGGGGTGGTGCTTGAGAATGACAGACTAGCTGCTTTAATTTCACTGCTCAGATATGCATAGGACCAGGTGGGCATCATGTGGGCCAGTAGCCTGGGAGAGTTGCTCCGGATACCACAGCCACAGAGGCGGACCCAGTCTCCCAATCAGTCCCGAGGCTGTTTGCAGTTACCGGCATGCGCTGCAGAGAGCGAGCCCCGCAGGTGGCACTGGACTCCTGGAGCTTGAGTCTTTGACTTGCAGGTTGGAGTTGGCATCCACCTAAGTCCAGGGGAAGGGGAATCCTCGTCCACCTTTCTCTTCCCTTGCCAGAGCAGGGCACGTCCCCTCTGCAGGCAGCACACAGGATCTGTAGGAAATCATGTTGTGTTCAAGCTGTTTTTCTGTAGTACTTGTTCTTTTTAGATGAGTCTTGGCCACTTCAGTGATGACTTGGAAGGCTGTTTGGTGGGGAGATCTTGATTTTATGAGGATCTTGCATTTTTCTAGAGAATTTTATAGTCATGTGTGTTTTTATGCCATGGTCTCCATTAGGGGACACAGCAAAACTGGCTTTGGATCAGAAACCATCATTTCTAAATGTTTAAAAAGAAGAAAAGTTCCTACTGGTGATGCCTGTCTGACTAGTTTGGTAATAAGTAAGAAGCAATGAAGTTCTGAAGCTTTTCTCTTGATGACCATGATCACTGAAAATGGAAGGAATCCAGATTATCTCAGTGTTTGGTGTGGTCGACAACACCAGTGTTTTGCGTCTGTGATGTTTGTGTTGTGTGTAAGGATGAATTGTCTCCTGGATAAGGGGAGAAGGGGGAGCACCAAGCTAAAATTTTGTTTGCCAAATCAGATTCTTTGGTCAATAATGGTTTATGAGCTGGGCACAGTGGCACATACCGATGGTCCCAGCTACTGGGGAAGCTGAAGCAGGAGAATCCCCTAATCCCAAAGTTTAAGGCCATCCTGGGCAACAAGGTGAGACCCTGCCTCAAAAAAAGAGAAAAAGAAGTTTGGGTTTGGGTAGAATCATATCAGGAAAATTATAGGACCCCAGGTGGCAGGGTTCCAGTTGTGGCCTTAGTCTTCTGGCATCATGAAGGGACCATTCCCTCATGGAGGGGGCCACTGGCTTGGCTTCTGGGTCTTTGGTGATATCTGCCCTTGTTTCTTCAGCACTGTCCTCAACTTCTAGCTACTCGTGGGGACAGTGAATCATAGATAGGACACCAGTTCGCCCTTTATCTCCTGTTGAATGCAGTGGTTCCCCATTCCGAGAGGAAGTAACACTGTTTCTGCTGCACTCGGGGTTTGGTTTTGTTTTGTTTTCTGCTTTTGATAATTGCAATTTTGTATTGAAGGGTTTGGTTTTCATCTGCTTATGAATGGGCCACTTTGCTCCTTGCCGAAGTTACTCATCAGAAGCCTCAGGAGAATCCCCGTTTGTCCGTCTGTTGTTCATTGCTTAATAGTATTTTGATCCCAGGTTTTGAGACAATTGCTGGGTAAAATAGGAAGACACAATCCTGACGGTGTTATTTATGAAAAGATCTTGCTGAGTGCCTTCACCAGAAGCTGTGGATCTGCGGTTGAATTGTTCTCACTGGTGAATGCAGTTTTGCATTGCAAAGGTGTATGGTGGTAGTTTATGATTATAGTTAAGTGATTCCTCAAACATATCATTGAACTCCAAAATGAATTATGCCTCTCTTTGGGTTTAATGAAATTTCTGATGTTACTGAAATTTGCCTATTAACATGTTTTCCTTTTCCAAAGCAAGACATGCTGGTGAGAGGAAATGACTGTCTAGTTTTATTATGGTTTATAAATTAATAAATGGGATATTTAATTCTGTACATTAACGTACAGCAAGTCCATACACTGGAATGAATGCGACAATCATGTTAGAGCAACTTGTCAGGTTAAAAGTCAACGCTTTCAAGTCTTGAAGGTTCCAGCTTGACACTGGGTCTTTTTGAGGCCTGTGCCCTGGCCTGCTGCCCCCTCCTCCTCCTGTGGGCAGCTCTGCTCTCGTCACCCTCATTGATGGGGTTGTAGTGCCTCACGCCTCTGTGACGTGGTCTGGCCGATGACAGTAACTCCTACCCAACTCCTTCATTTTACAGAAGGAGAAACAGGCTTAGAGGGCATTTTTGAGTAGTGTTTGTTCACTGTTGTGACTTGGTATGAAATTTTTATGCACCTTATTTTAAGTCATTCGTTTTGGGGAAAACCAGACCCTTATGACAAAGGAGATAAGCCAAATAACATTCGAATGAGGAAGGACTTAAGTTTTTGAATTTTGCTGTGTATCTAGTCTACACCATGTATCAGACCCTTTATTACCTCTGGAACATAACCAGACCTGAATACCTTAAGGTCTTACAGCCTTAAGAATCCAGAACATTAATTTATTAAAAGACCTGAAAATTCCTAGTATTTTTTTTTTTTTAAATTATCACCTGTTTGCAAGACTTCGATGCTATCGACTGTTCTGTGGGAATAATTGTATATTCATGATGGCATTTACCAAAAATAAATGATGGTCTCCAGGGAATTGAGATTGGTCCCAGTTTGTGAGTGAGGGTCTCAGATTTGAGTGACCCTGTGTTCAGCATGCCCAGCAACAAAATGTACAAGAGATCCACAACTGAGGTGGCTTTGGTCCTCCCGTCTCGATGTATTCACCTATTTTTCCCCCTCTGGGCCAGAAACTAGGATGTGATTTGTGGGTTTTCAAGGAGGTAGGAGAGACTCGGGAAATCCAGGCCCATTGTGGTGGCTGTGCTATAGCTCATACTGAGGTCCTACTATGTGCCCGATGCAGTGGTGGGCTTTTTGCACAGTCCTGGTGTGTTTTGTGGACCTGGAGATGGAGCCCAGGACCTCAGGCATTGTAAGCACACTGAGCCACACCCTCGGCCCTGTTGTTTCATTAATCTTGTTCTATAGATGAAAATGAGGCCCCAAGAGGCCGGGTCACTTGTCTGGGGCCATATAGCTGCCTGTCTGACTCCAAAGCCCGTTTTCCCATGTTGCTCAAACCACCCCTGCCAGAGACTGTCCTCCGAGCCCAGCTGAGGAAGACATGAGCATGCCACAGTGGCGTGCAGCGTCTCAGTGCATGACCGCCTTGTTCAATGATTTACTAAGCACTTAATGTGTGCCAAGTAACAGGAACTGATACGTGTAAGGCTGCCACCCAAAAAGCTCCCGCCTTCATCTGCAGATGTGTAACTAGAGAGCACAAGAAGCGGTGTCAGAGGGACGCAAAAAATGCCAAAGAGTGCAGGGTGGTCATTTCGGCAGCACGATGGGGAATTGGAGTGTTTTATTTGACTTGTGTTTACAATCATTTTATTAGATGCCAGGAGAGCGAGATTACACCAATCATACAAAGTGGAAAATGGAAATAGTTGTTCAGCCCACAGGACAACCTGGGCCCCAGGGGGGGAGACCTGTCCCAAACCTAGGGCCTTTTGCCCTGCACCGCTGCCATGGGAGAGCCTTTTGATTTTCCTCAGTTTTATCACACAAGAGTTTGTGCCATCAAAGGAGTAGCCTTTCTTGTCACCTGACAGGACTTTGCTGCTGGTTAGACCCTCCAGCCCATAGAAGGACAACCCGAATGGCTTTGCAGTTTATTGCTGTGATTGTAACAGGTTTCCGAGTCCTTGCATCAGGACTGGGTCACTGCTGTACAAATCTAGGCCTGGTGTGCAGGGTCAGGATTAAAAGTGGCCCTGTGAAGACCCAGCCAAACAGTAGAGTCCAAACTCCCATGTGGGAATGCCTTCTCCCAGAGTCTCATTTACCTCCTTAAGGCAGAAGTTTGCTGGTGATGTGGACACAATCAGGTCCGGGCCAATGTCCCCTAGAACCAGCCTCTCTTCCCTGGGCAGGGCAGGACCTAAACCATTCCTCCTGTTGCAGCTTTCAGCTAGCTGACCATATGTGGCTCAGTAACTGCAGAATGCAAGGTCACAGTCACACCAAACTTTTGCGTGACTGAGCCCACCAGTATGGATGGGCCTGTATGTTCTCAGTCACCCACTACATATTCCATAACTTATAGCTTAAATATATTTTTTAAGTTTAAAAATCTGTCAAAGCAAAAATAAATTACCTATATGCAGGCATTTAAATGAAGGAGGTAGCTGGGCACACTGGCTCACACCTGTAATCTCAATGACTCTGGAGGCTAAGGCAGGAGTCCAAACCACAAGTTTGAGGCCAGTCTGGACATTTATGGCTGAGAGGCAGAGTGCCCCTTGGTTCAATCCCTAGCACCACAAATAAATAAATAAATAAATAATAAAGAGGTACATCCTGTACAGAGGGAATAATTATTCCTAAATATACCAGTGAGTAAAATACATGAAGGCTGGGACTGTAGCTCAGTAGTAGAGCACTTGCCTAGCATTTGTGAGGTCCTGGGTTTGATCCTCAGCACATAAAAAATAAATAGAATAAAGGTATTGTAGAAAAAAATTATTAAGGAAAATATACAAATGTGCTTTGTTAATACACAGTTTCTCTCTGAAGAGATCCACAAGAGATTAGATTATAGCAGTTAGCTCTGTGGTGGATAATTACAGATGGTTTTTTTTTTTTCTCAAAACTATGCAAATTACTTTGTAATGGCCTTAGAAAAAGAATATGCCAAAAATATTTTCTTGTGTTATCAAATATTCTCCCTTGATTTTGTGTCTGTGTACATGATACCATAATTAGAAGGACGTGCTACAATTAACCAATCCCTAGGGCTGAATGTTTAAAATTTTGCCATTTTATGGAATAAGTTTGCAGTGAACAGTGTAGCACATCCTTCTAATTTAGGATAAATTCTCAAGACTTGTTTGCATATGGTTTTAAACTTGTTTCCATTTTGCTTCTCAGTGTTCTTAGTCCGTTTTCTATTGCTGTAACAAAATACCTGACACAGAATAATTTTTACACAGAATAGTTTATTTGGCTAACAGTTTTGGAGTGGGAAGTCCAAGAACATGAAGCTGAAGTCTGCTGAGAACTCTCTTGCTGCATCATCCGATGGTAAAGGGCATCGCATGACAACATTGAGCAAGTGTGCATCAGCTCAGATCTCTCATAAAGCCCACCAAAAGGGCCCCTCCCTCAACTCATCTAACCCTAATTAGGTCCCAAAGGTCTCACTTCCAAATACCATCAACCCAGACATGGGGATCATCTCAGGGGTATACATTTCACAAAAATCGTTTTACTTAAAGAGTCTTGCTAGAGCCGGTGGTACACACTTGTAATCCCAGCAACTCAGGAAGCGGAAGCAGGAGAATTGCAAGTTTGAGGCCAGCCTGGGTAACTTAGCAAGACCCTTACAATAAAAAGACTGGGAAAGCTCAATAATAAGATGTCCCTGGATTAAAAAAAAAAAAAAAGTCTTTCAGTTTCTAGGAGATATTATTGGAGAATATCTCTGCAGCAGTCTGAACTATTTATACTGTTTCTTCTAACCAGTGGATTCTGGTTTGGCCTTTTCAAAGGCGCTTGGGAGAGACCCCTGCGGTGCTCATTTTTTCAGTCTCAGATAAATGGTATTTTAATCTGAAATGATCATATGAAAGCAGGTGCACAGGTCTTTCCAGACAGCAGGTGAGCAGTGTCAGTACTGCACTGCAGGGTCCTTCACTCAGCACAGCATCAATGAGCATTGACATTTTGTAATAGTATACTGAAGCCAGGCGAGGTGGCGCATGCCTGTCATCCCAGTAGCTCCGCTCGTGAGGCTGAGGCTGAGGCAGGAGGATCGTGAGTTCAAAGCTAGCCTCAGCAACAGCGAGGTGCTAAGCAACTGAGTGAGACCCTGACTCTAAAAAAAATACAAAATAGGACCAGGGATATGGCTCAGTGGTACTGTGACCCTGAGTTCAATCCCTGGTACCAAAAAAAAAAAAAAGTAGCCTGAAAGTGGAACTAACCAAAGACTCCTTAATACACATTCACTAACCTTTTTTTTTTTTTTTTTTTTTGATACCAGGGATTAAAGCTAGGACACCTAAACCACTGAGCCACACCCCCAGCCCTTTTTTAATTTTGAAACAGGGTCTTTCTAAGTGCTGAGACTGGCTCCTCCTGCCTCAGCATCCCAAGCCACTGGGATTACAGACATGCACCACCATGCCTGGCTCATTAACCTTTCTTCCCCACTCCCATCTATTTATTTATTTATTCATGTAGGGAATTGAACCTAGGGCCCCTCATCTGCGAGCCAAGCACTGTATCACTAAGCTACATCCCCAGTCCTTTTCATCTTATTTTTAGACAGGATCTTGCTAAAATGCCCAGGCTAGCCTTGAACTTAAAATCCTCCTGCCTCAGCCTCCCAAGTAGCTGGCATTACAGGCAATGCATCACCATGCCCAGCTTTAAAGATTCTTAACTGGCTCTCCTGAGATATTGGGGTTGGAGGGCCCATGATGGGGCAAGCATGTAGGCCTATAGTCCCAACTACTGGGAGGCTGAGGCAGGAGGAGAGCTTGAGCTCAAAGATTCCTAGACTAAGGCTGGGGTTGTGGCTCAGTGGTAGAACGCTTGCCTTGCACATGTGGGGCACTGGGTTCAATCCTCACCACATACAAATAAATAAATAAAGGTATTGTGTCCATCTACAACTAAAAATTTTTTTAAAAAAATTATACACTAGCTTGGATAATAGAGACCCCATCTCAAAAAATCAAATGAACAAGACCCTGATAAATGTTGTATATCTTCAGCCTACAAAAATACATACATGTATAGTATTTTATCAACTCTATTAGTTCATGGTTCTCTGAAGTCCATCCATATGGATTTTTTTTTTTTTAGGGAGAGAATTTTTTAATACTTATTTTTTAGTTTTCGGTGGACACAACATCTTTATTTTTATGTGGTGCTGAGGATCGAATCCAGCGCCCCGCACATGCCAGGCGAGTGCGCTACTGCTTGAACCACATCCCCAGCCCTAGATCTCTTAATATAGATCCTGACTGGCAAGATCCAGACTACCAATCCTTACATAAACGTAAAATCCCATGCCTACCCTTCCGCCTGAAACAGTCACAAAGCTGGCTCATTGTACAGTTCTCAGTGCAAAACCTCACTTCAGAAGAGCAGTTCATGGTAATCCTACTGAAACAGAGACCCTTTGAACTTAAAGGCTGAATTGTTTTAGCTCCCTAACTTCCTCATGCTGAGAATGGAAACTTTACCCCACGTCCCTGGCAGTGGTCAAGAAAGCTGAAAATGAAATGTCCTCTAGTTAGTATAGCCTAGCAAATAAATAAATTATACACACCCACACACATACATATGTATCCATGTGTGTGTGTATATATATATATATCCTGACTTCTGTTCCTACAAATTGTAACTGCTTCCCTAAGACCAAGGGCAGTTTGATCAAACTATTAAATTCTTTTTTCTTTATACTGTTTGCTTATTTCTTATACAGGAGGACAGCAGAATCCAGCCAGCCAGGATACAAACAGGCTCTGTAGCTTGCAGGGTAGACTCCACTCTCCCACGTTCTGGTTAGAGCACCTTGTCTTCTCCCTAATATTACATAATATATTCATTTATTGATTTATGCTCTTCCCCCATGGACTCCCTTAGAGCAGAGCTGAGGTCTGACTTGTTCCAGCTGTTATCTATAAGCCACTCTATCCAGTCACCAGTTTTTGAGAGCCAACAATGGTGAACATTTGCACTGACAGGAAAAACAAACCTGGAACCCAAATTAAACAAAATGTTATCCCCAGAAAAGAACTCCACTATTCTCATGAGTATACGCTTACTTTTAAAAAATTACACTCAATTATCGTTTGAATTTCATAAATAAAATTTTTCTAGATATTTCTCTCTGGTTATATAAGTATCTAAATAAGATCCTTCACCATCCCTCTCAGCCCGCAGAGCCTAAAATATTTGCTTTCTGGGCATTAAAAAGTTTGCGGACCCCTGCCCTAGAGCAATACTTGACATACAACAGGCAATCCGTTGGAGAGTTTTGCAACAGCAACAAAAAGAACCTAAAATACGTATGTATCCACTTGTATAGAAAAACCACGGAGGTATAGCTGGCCATGCGTTAACAAAATGGGAACATTAAAAGGGTCAGGGTTAAAGAAGATAGCCACACAATCGATGTTCGCTATTGATTGCTACTTCAGGTTATCTTGCCCCACAATTTTCACGTTGCCTTCATAATCATTTCAGAAGCGACGAAAGTGCACCTTTTAAGAACCCACTGGGCTCGCAGTCTGCGGCCGGTGTTGAGGGGAGAAGGGTTACCCCAGCCAAAGTCTTCCTTACCAAAGCGAAGAGTCGAGAGGAGGACACCTAAATAAAGCCTGCTGCAATCTCCGCCAGGAGAATGTGAGGGCGCCGAGCCCCGCAGCCTCCGGACGCACACCTCGTAGTCTCAACGAGCCTGCGAGGAGGAAACAGAGGCCCTGTCCCGAGTAGAAACTCCCTAGACTCTTGATCCCGCGGAAACAGCGACCAGCCAGCACCTCTATCCGCGACACAGTGCTGCACGGACGCCCAGGTCCCGCGCGCCGCTCACCTACTGCCCTGAAACGCGCGCCAGTGGCTCGGTCAGCGCACGCGCCTCGCTAGCCCCTCCTACGCTCTGAGCCCAGCGCTGCTTCTTCCCGCCCGGCTCCTGCCTTTACTTCCGGGGTTTCCCAGCGACGGCCGTAAGTGGCGGGCGGAAACGGCTCACGAGGCCCGCCGTAAACGGCTCCCTCGCGCCACTTCCGGCCGGGTTCCGCAGACAGCGCTGGTGGGCGATCGTGAGGCGCCGGAGGACGTTCCCCGCGGCCGGAGCCATGGAGATGCCGCTGCCGCCCGACGGTGAGGCCCAGCCCGGAACGGAGACCGTTTGTCTCTCCCCGGAATCCCCTGTCGGCCTGCCCCGCCTCCCGGAGTCCCCAGGCCTGGGAGGGGGCGGGGCGCGGCCTCGCGGCTTCGCCTCCGGCCTCTCCCGTGGGTCCTCGCATTCTCGGCGAGCGTGTGGCCCTTATCGGGACCCGTACAAGAGCGGTCTCTCGGGGACCCACCCCTAGGGACCCCGGCCCAGTGGACCGGGGCTGGAGCGCCAGGGTCCCCTGGTTTGGGCGGTCTTTGCTGATGCCCCGCGTGGCCTTTTCTCCGTCCTCCAGACCAGGAGCTTCGAAATGTCATCGACAAGCTGGCTCAGTTCGTGGCTCGCAACGGGCCCGAGTTTGAGAAGATGACGATGGAGAAGCAGAAGGACAACCCGAAATTCTCGTTTCTGTTCGGAGGCGAGTTCTACAGTTACTACAAGTGCAAGCTGGCGCTGGAGCAGCAGCAGCGTGAGTCTCGCCAGCTCTCAAGCCGTCCCTTTGAGCGATTCCTTTCTCGGATTCCAGTCCGTGCTCTGCCACAAGCCGCTTTCTGTTGGGTCTCATATTTTCTCTGCGAAGAGGGGCAGCTTGGATGTTCATGATTCCTTCTGCTTTTTCCGGGGCCCTGCACATAACGACTCCTGGGTCCTTGTGTAATGGAGAACGAGGCTATCGATCCTCTGCTGGGGCTCCGGATCAGGAATTTCTCTATTGTTTTTGCAGACATGGTAACTGGGAGCAGCAGCAGTAGACGAACTGCTTTAGTGTTTTCCAGGCAGGAAGTGATAGTAGTGGAAACTGACCAGCCTACTTTGGGGCTGTGTGAGTCCAGCAAGATTTTTGTGCATTTTAGATGCGCAGATCAGAAAGAATTGTCTCTCTAGGTTTTATGGATGTTCAGTTGAGTATTAGGAGTTTAAGATGGGATTAGGAAGTGCAACTGGGCTTCAGATAATAAATAGTCACCAAGTCAACGTCCTAAGGGCAGTGACCATATCTGGCATGCCCAGTGGCAAATCCCCAGTCTCTAAGTAAGTTGTGTGAATGAATAAGTAGGAGCTTTCCAATATATGGACATTAAAAAGTAACAGACTCTGGGTTACAAGACCAAACAGACATTGTGCCCTTACATAGTGCATCTTATTTGATAAAAAGCTTACAAGGCAGGTAGAATAGGATGCTACAGAGGTACAGGGACTTGAACAAGCAATGTGTTCAAGGGGGGGAACCAGAAAAGACCAAGCATGGTTGGAACTTAGCTCGCACGTGCATGTGTGTTTGGGTGGGGTGGGGTGTGTGTGTGTGTATGTATGGGGGGAGGGTTTGATCTGGAGTGTTAAATGCCAAGGGAGGTTGGGGTTTTCTCCCTCATTCCAGTGCCTGTTTACGTTTGAGATGAAAATTAGGGAGATTAGTAGCCTGAAATTGTAAGCATAGTGTTCCATGTTTCCAGAGCATTCATTCCCTAGTCCCAGCAGACCAAGTTTAAAAGCTGCAAGAGAGTTTGAAACAGCAGTCCAACAGAATGGTGTTTGTGTGGTTAGTGTGGAGGACTGGTTGCAGGGAGAAAGAGTGAGGTCCTCGGGAATAACTTGGGCAGTTGGCTCAGGTGCACAATGGTGAGGTCTGAATTAAGTCGGGTTGAGTCAAAGAGTGGGAATGGGGGCAGGTGGAGTTAAGGGGCAGAATCTGTGAACTTAGGCATCTGTTGGATATTGATGAGAGGTGGCATCATGCGATAGGGAGGAAGATGCCTCATACAGTTTCTTGACTTAAATGACAGTGCTGAGAACTGCTCTTCTGTCAGAAATGGGAAGCTGTTTAGGACTAGGTGCCATAACAAGGAAGGGAGAGGGTCCCTACCGTGGGGGAATATTAGAAATCAGTAGATGTTTTCTTCAGGGGATGTAAAGAATGTGGCACAGTTAGCCAGGTGAAAACTGAGGGAGAGAAGCTTTCCAGGCTGAGAAAAGAGACTCTGGAGGGACAGAGACAGGGTCAGTACTCAGTGTGGCTGACGCCTAGCAAAGGAGGGATTCTTGGCTTGGCTACAAGTGAGGATGCAGAGTAAAGAGGGCTGGCGTGCTGAGGAGTTAGGAATTGATCCTGGAAGCTACAGGGGAGCTCGTGAAGGCTCTCAGGTCTGCATTCTAGAACAGGGTTAGCCACAGGGCTGCTAGCTCTTCACCGTAGTTTCCCATAATCCCCAACTGGGAATTGAATTCAGGGCTTTATGCATGCCAGGCAAGCACTCTGCTACTAAGCTGAGCCCTAACCCCAATATTTTTAAGACCCCCAGGACTGTCTAACATGATACTTTGCAAATTCCATGGTGAAGGATCAGTTTTTTATTTTTGTTTGTTTTGATTTTTAATTTCCAGTCTGTTGTGGCCAGGTACTTTTGTAAAGTACGGTAAAAATGTAAGCCGTGAAATGTTGCATGGCTATAAAAGTGCCTGTAGCTTCTGTCACTCGGGGCTGGTCCAAGGACCACACTTGAACAGCAGCACTGACTGCACAAGGGGTAGAGGGGGCAGGACCTCATTCAAGGAGATGGGTCCAAGGATGATGCAGGTGACAACAGAGCTTGGTGGCAACATATAGGAGTGGGATCTAAGGGATGCCTTGGTGGCACCACATGGCTCGGTTCATTAGCGTGAGGTGCACGCCCCTTTTCATCTGGGTGGGTCACAGCTACGGAGATGGGGAGGGAGCCCAGGGTGAGAGGAAATGCAGTGAGCTTGAGCAGCCCGTGGAAGACCTGTAGGCCAGGCACTGGTCAGTTGTTAGGTCCTAAGTCGAGCAAATCCAGAAAAGGGCTGATAGGTTTAGGGATTACGTAACTGCAGCCAGTCTGTATTTCTTTTCCTGATGATCTGCATAGAATGGATTCAAAAGCTGAGAACACAGACACAGCATCCAGCATTTAAGGGACAGCAAGGACAAGAGAGAAGAGATAAATAGCCACAGAGGAGAAAAGGACCTGAGAAGGCCCATTGGGCTGAGTCAGGGTGTCCTCAGTGACCTTGAGGGTGGGGAATGGGTGGGCTCTAGGTTGAGATTAAGAGGAGATGAAGAATCCAAGGTGGGTCACAAAAAGAGGCTGCATATTTGTTGGGAGCAGAACATGGAATAAGGAAGAGAAGACACAGATGGGTTTCAGTGCTATTGAGAAGCAGTCAGTAAAAAGGGGGGAAATTGAAGGACTGAGGGAGAACATGGGTTTCAGGGAGCCATGTCCCAAGGCCTGAGCACAAGCCAAGGATCATCCCATAGGGTATCCTTTGAGCCCCTGACAATCCTAAGCAGTAACTGGGTGCTTGTTGGTTCTGGGTGACGCCTTCCACCCTCTACCCCTTCTTCAGCTTTGTCCAAGGACAGATTCCCCTTGGGACAGAATTCAGTACAGTTCTATCAGTGTGTGGCCACATTCAGACAAGACAGAGCACAGAAGTGGAGAGGGAGGCAAGCCGTCTTGTCTAAAGCCTCCTTGTGAGCAAGGACCCTTCCCAAAGACCTCCCCGCTACCTCATCTACCCAAAATTGGGACACATGCCCACCCTGCCTGTAAAATAGGTATGTCACAGGTTGGGGATGTAGCTGAGTGGTAGAAAATTTGCCTAGCGTGTGTGAGATCCTGGGTTTAATCCCCAGCACCACAAAATAACAACAAAAAGAATACTTAAGGGAATCATGACAAACATTAGCCTGGTGTGGAGGCACACACCTGTGATCCCAGTGACTTGGGAGGCTAAGACAGGAGGATTGCAAGATCAAGGCCAGCCTCGAAAACTTAGCGAGGCCCTAAGGAATAAAAAGGATGTAGCTCAGTGCTTAAGTGCCCCTGGGTTCAATCTCTAATGGGCCAAGGGTGCAGTATGTCACTACTGGCTCAAACTGGATAAATCTCTGAATGCAGAGCATAAGTGAAGGGGGAGATTAGAGAACAGTCGCGGAGGTTAGAGATTGTGGCCAAGGACTTTGAGAGACGAGAGACCACCTTGGAGGGAGGTGGTATTTCTCTGGCAGTGGCCGTAGCCTGTGCTCAGCATCAGTTCAGGCCTAGGTGAGGTGGGAAGGTGACAGCTGAGACTTGGCTTGTGCTGCAAGTGGATGAAGACACACACACACTCCCGCTTCAGCAAGGAAAGAGTGAGATCACTGTTCCAAGGCTCTCTAAGGAGAGGATAGACGCGAAAGCAGACGGCCTGGATGAGAACACAGGAAGGGATCTGGGCTGGGGGATGTGAACTAGAAGGTGGAAAGGAGGGCTAGGCCCAGAGAGGGGACTGAGCAGACCAAGCCTGGCCTGGCTGCACGGAGGCCCTCTGGTTGATGCTAAGTCTGTAGGTGTGGGTGGTGGACTGCTTTGGCCTAGAGCTGCCCTGAATGGTGGCCAAGAGGACACCTGGCCACATCCTCATAGAACCCCTCCTCTTCCTTTCCTGCCAGTCATCTGCAAACAGCAGGCCCCAGAACTGGAGCCCACCGCAGCTCTGCCACCCCTGCCACAGCCCCCACTGGCCCCTGCGGCGCCTATTCCACCCGCTCAGGGCGCCCCATCCATGGATGAGCTCATCCAGCAGAGCCAGTGGAACCTGCAGCAGCAGGAGCAGCACCTGCTGGCCCTCAGACAGGTATGGGGCCCACTTCTCCCCTTTCCCTTCTTGCCCTACCATTGGACCTGAACTTGTCTTGAGCCTTGGGTCTTGCACCTGTGCATTAGGATGAACAATGGCTGTCGTGAGGACTCTTCACCATAGTCAGTGCTAAAGGACAAGGCCGGCCCCATTT